ATTTATTTGATTGGTTTTCAATGTTATTCTACTTCCTAGATATATATTGTAAGAAAATATGCATTAAATATGCCTTCCTGTACTCGTTCGGTAGCACATTTTGCGATCTTCCGTTTTTACTGGAAAAATAGAGTTCGGGTGGTTTTTAAATCTTTCTTATTGCGAGATTGTTTTAAGAAGATGAAATGTTTATGCATGATATATCGTATCCATAAATTTATTAAGGTTGCCTATAAAGTATACACTACGATCCATATCCACTGCGAAATTTAACGAGCCCTACGTGGCGTCTTCCTCATAGCGAACAGGCATGCTTGAATTTTTCTGAGACGGAATGTATGCAGCATGTAGGCTGGAAAACTTGACTACACGTGTAACAACCAGTAGCCTTGTAAATTATTCAGTAATATGTAAAGGTTATAAAAGCGAAAGATACCCTTTCTGCAGGTATGAACTTTGAAGAAGGCGTAATTTTCTACCAAATGGGTACAAGAAATAAAGTGTTGTACATGCCTTTTATAACATTTCATATTTTTCGCATTATAAGACGCATTTAATGGCCAATTGTTTTCTCAAAAATAAGAGAGCATGGACTAACGCAGCGCCATGCACCATGCGAAATCGCTTTGAGTTCAGTCACTACAATTAATCGAAATATAGGGCGCCCCAGCGTTATAAGACGTACTGTCGTCCTTTGAAAGGCTTTTAGCTTACAGTCCGGAAAAAAATTGGTATATTGGAATAGATAATGGCATTTTTAATCAGAGAGAAAGTGCATATTATTTCAGATGCCATTCATTACAATATATGCGGGCTTCAGGCGGTCGGAAGAGAGCTTGCTTAAAGGCTGGCATCCCGAAGTGACTGATTAGGCTACGGAATAACCAGTCATACAGCACTACTCATATAATTCGTAGGAATCAAAGATGCATTTCATAATTTCGGATGACATTTTGCGAAATAGGTAATCTACAGTATACTGTAGTCGTCGAAAATCACGCAACATGCCGACATATGCGAAAGATTGGTACTCTCGCTAATTGGCATTGACTCAGGTTTTGATACTGATTATTGTGTGGTCTATTCTGAAGTCAGTTCAGTCATAATAGGATGCGGGCTTTTTAACGTGCTTCGTTCTGACCACTAGCAAAACGTAT